CTCACTACCGGATCCAAGAGGGGTACTTGCTTGTCCACACGAGGGGGAAGGACCTTCTTTGCGTCACGAGTGACTCTCACTTGCGTACACAGCTTCTTGGCGAGCCACCATACACTTTGGAATCAATCGTACGATTAACCGACTTTCCGAGCGCTTTTGGTGGCCGGCCTTCTCGGCAACGTCACAGGCTATTGTGAGTCATGCGAGGTTTGCCGACGCTGCAAATCCCGCAACCATGGGTCATACGGCGAGTTGCGACCATTACCGGTCCCCTTGCGCCGAAGGGAAGCAATTGCCATGGACATTACCGGACTGTTCCCCAAGCACAAAACCGGTGTGGATGGGATTCTCACGGTGGTCGACCGACTCATCAAGTTCGCCATGTTTTTGCCTTGCCGCCATCATGCCAAGGCACCAGAGTTTGCCGAAGTTCTTTACGCTGGTTGGATTCGAACAAAGGGTTACCCCAAGGACATCGTCTGCGACTGCGACACTCTGTTCATGTCCGTTTTTGGTTGGCGCTCATCAAACGATGGGGCTCATCTCTCAAGCCAAGTTCGCCTCGCCATCCCCAAACCGATGGCCAAACGGAGAGGGCGCATCAGACCGCACAGGTTCTCCTTCGCACTCTCATCCGTCTTGACCAAAAGGATTGGGTTGAGCGGCTGTTGGATGTCGAGTTGGCATACAACTCGTCCATCCACCCGACTATCAGGATGTCGCCCTTCGAGTTCGAGCACGGCTCGCCGGTCACTTCTCCGTTGGACACAATCATTCCATGAATGGCCGAGAGCGACGACCATCTTCTTTTCTTGCGTCGGATGCAAGAGCTACTTGTCAAGGCATGCGACCAGATGGCTAAGACGCAGCAACGCGTGAGCCAACAGGTCAATCAACAGCGTCTTCCATGTCCATTCCGCGCCAGCGATCTCGTTTGGGTTTCTGCCGCAGAGTTCAGCCTCGAACAAGCCCCGGTCTTTCATTTCTCCAAGTTTGCTCTTTACACGCCAGCGGAACATGACGATTTTCCCGGGCGACGATCGCAAGACCCACCCTCTATGGACGGTTTTCAAGAGGTCGGCGACGTCATTTCCCAGCGACGCTAGGGCAACAGGCCGACCGAATACTTGGTACACTTTTTGTACTGCACCCACAAAGCTGACCGTTGGTTGACCCGTGCGGAACTCCAAGCAACAGCTCCAGATGTTCTCGCATGCTACGAACGCAAGATGCAAGGCAAGCCGGTATCTTCGGCTCCACGTCGCACCCACGCCCAGGTTCCACCTTCAGATAAGTCAGCTTCGCCCTCGACCCGGCTTGACTTCATAAGGAGGGGGGGGGTGTTACATGCTGCGCCTGAAACGAGGGCCATTTTCAGGCCCTGTGTTGAAAGCCTGAAAACAAGGGCCTACAGGCCCTGTGTTGTTTCAGCCTGAAAGACTGAAAACAAGGGCCTACAGGCGCTGTGTCGTTTCAGCCTAAAACAGGGCCCTCCAGGCCCTGAGTCTTTTCAACCTGAGACGGAGGGCCCTTTTCAGGCCCTCATAAGATCGACCTGCCCTGAAACTTAGGCATAAGACGCGCAGGCCATTTTGGGCCCGTTTTCAAGACAACCTTTGTTTGAACTTCAACGCCAGGGTCTGGCACGTTTTGGCATTGGCAAGAGCAGCCTCCTGGACGGGCCAGCACTATATAAGACTGGCCCGCCCTGCAGGCTGCAGGTAGTTCATAGGAACTTCCCAGGCACTTCACGTGCAGGAGTCAGGAGGCAGTTTTCAGCATTCGGCAGCAGCACTCTGGAGGAGCGCTGCAGTAGTAGTCGTAGCGTTAGCAGTAGTCTTCAGCGCTGGGCGCTAGTAGGAGCTAGAGTAGCACTGGAGAGAGAGAGGAGAGAGAGAGAGAGAGAGAGAGAGAGAGAGAGAGAGAGAGAGAGAGAGAGATTTGGCGGAGGCCAGGGAAACTTACCTGCAGCGCCATAACTTCAGCTTCGTCTTCGAGGTACCTGCAGCACAGCGCCATCTTCGGAGGTTAGTACCTGGCAGATGACAGAGAGAGAGAGTTCTTCTTCTTCCTCCTCTCAGTCCACCATCTCTTCCTCACCCTCTCGCTAACTGATTTCTCGGCAGCAGTACACTACGGACGAGGGTGAGAGAGGTTACTAGCAGGGAATACAAGCAGAGGTTACAGTGGGCGTGTTGCCCGGGATCTGATTCGACATTTCTGAGGCAGGCATTGATTGGACATCGGCAAGGGACTATTTTTGGACTTCGCTATTGCGATCTTCTCCCTCGCCTCCATCTTCGTCCTTCCTCTCCCCCATCTCTCATCTATGTTATCTCCCCATGTGCGTGTACAAGGAGGGACCTTTCTTCTTCGTGTGTGGTCCCTCCTCCTCCTCTCACATGAGTAATGTATGATGGGATGTCGTGTCAGTCCCTGTCAGGTCAGGACTTATCTCAAAGTCTTCCAGTGCGCTATTACGTGCCATTTTGTATGTATCAGGATGTACACTGCTTGTTTAGATTCCACTAACACTGCATTGCCCATTCAGTCCTTTTCATCACGTTGCGGATCCTTGGTTGTACATACCTTGCCCAACTGGGCATGTATCAAGTACGGACATGCATTTGAAAAGTTCATGCTCCCATGTGGATCACAAAGGATGTGTGGATGGAGTTGAATCACTGATTACACCGGCCTCCACAAAAGTCAAACATCTGGAAACAGGACAGTGAAATGTTGGCGCTCACATACGTCAATCCATTCCAACACCACATTACTTTGTGGCAGTTTGTGCAGTATTGTATGGTGTTATGTTATGCTCACATTAAAGGAAGTCTTCTTCCACAGCACACACACACAAAAAAAGAGAGATGCTGAGAAGGTAACGCCTTCCCTCAGAAAATCACAAACCACAGGTATTATTAACTACTGCGGAAAAGAAAACAAGGAATTCTTTTTATTTCTTTTTTTTTCCTCCCAGGGGCCATGCTAGTCGTCTCGGTATCGTTCCAATTGTAACGGATGTCTGCCATCCTGTTCTCTGGTGAGCGAAGTCGGAACATGTCATCTAGTCCTGCATAACAAAGTTTGGAAAGTCCTCGTAGCCTTATGCGGGCTATCCCGCAGGCACTACTGGTTTTTGTTTATGTGGATTCTAGTACTCACAAACACACTGTCCATGACATCAATGAAAGTGTGTCATCATGAAGCACACTTAGCAAACAACCAAACTGAGACAGTCAAATCGTGTGAAGTCTCACAAAGATGAAGAAGAAGAAGCAGAAGCAGCAGAAGCAGCGGCAGCAGCAGCAGCGGCAGCAGCAGCAGCAGAGAAGAAGAATTAAAACGTTAAAAAGATAAAAGAAGTGGTAGTAGAAGAGTGTGCTCTTTGGACAGCAGTCCTACCATCTCTCTGTAACGGGATAGCGCACATATCTGCATTCCCAATAGCTCACGTCCTACAGTTGTATGTTCAATTAGTGTCCAAATACCATGCATCATGCCCACCGCTCCTCTCATCTTCACCCATGGGATCATTGTTTTGTGTAGTCTGACCTGGGCGTCTTTGAATGCTCTTGTATGCTCTGTCTGGACCGGAGGAATGCAATTGCAATTCTGGGTCAGCTCCCTAGCCAAAAATTATAGCGAAATCTGTAGTCTTTTTTTCATCGCAACCGCGGACCCGGACACTGGACACCGGACACTCCCCGACTGTCTTCCGGACCAGTGTCTGGATAAGCCCGGACTGTCCGGTGATCCGGACAGTCCGGACCGGTGTCAGGGGGTACAAAATGTCCGGACCCAAAAAAAAAAAAAAAAAAAAAAAAAAAAAAAAAAAAACGGGAGAGGGAGGAGGGGGCGGGATGTTGGCGGGCACTTACCTGCTTTGCACTTTGTAGTTCAGGCAGCAGAGCACCTGTCTTGCAGCAAATCAACAAGCACGTTCAACTAGCAGACATGCAGAGTTGCAAACAGTGCAAAGCAGGCACAAGACTTAAGAAACAGAGAAAAAAAAATGAAATAGTATGGTTAACACTGAAGTTTGAACTTTGAATTAAGTAATTTAAGTTCATAACTTCATATAACTTGAAAGTTTGAACTTTGCAGTTCAATTCAGAACGTCAGATTCTTCGGATTGGCAGCACTGTCAATGCTCTCTCTCTCTCTCTCTCTCTGTGTGTGTGTGTGTGTGTGTGTGTGTGTGTGTGTGTGTGTGTGTGTGTGTGTGCAATGGGCAGCAGCGGCCGGCGGCACGTCGAAACAGCCGCTTTGAAATTGCTCGGGACTGTGTGAAACCCGCCACCCCAAAAACCTGCAGTGTCTTGTGTCTGGACCTCTAGGCCCTGTTCAGTGGGATGTAACGACACTGAAAAATCACCCCAGTATTTTTCAAGGGGCGGCCAGGACCCGAAAAACATCCTGGGCCGCCGCCGCTTTATTTTTTTTTAGTTTTGCTTTGGGGGCCTCCATCCGGACATAAGGATCGGACAACAAACACCAGACATGTTGTTCCGGACTGTCTGGAACCCGGTATGGATGTCCGGTCGGTTACCATGCTTTTTTTTTTCACAAAAAAAAAACAGGTCCCTATGGTCCTGGCTCCTTGTGCATTCTGGGGAGCGTCAGTCCGGTTGCTTTCTGGGGGCAAGTCCATTTTGTTTTTCTTTTAAAATTTTCCAGGTTTTTTACAACTGCAAGTCTGAAGGCGGTGCTGAAGCCTTTAGAAAACAGAAGTATGTCCCAGGTGCAAATCGATCCAGGGATCCTGCCACCCTGGGCAGTGGTATGCTACTGTGGCCCACTAACTGTCCTAGGTTCCTACTGTGAAATGCGTCCAGGACCCTGCCTCCCTTCGCCCTCCCTCAGAGGGATGTAACTACCATTTCAGCCTCTTATGATGTGAAGAGATTCCATGTTATGCCTCGTAACTCAGTGAGCTGATCACTCATGTGTTCAAGTTTTTCTGTGTTTGTGATTGGGTTCTATGCATTGTCCAGGTTTACCTTATGGATATCCAGCTTTGGTTTTCTGTCCTTTCAGCATTCGTTGGGAAAATTTCAGGCCTCCTAGAACGCATTGGGGAGGTATGTTATGATCCTGGCCAATTTCGAAATACACATTCATCAGAAAGTACAATACTGTCCAATTGCAAAAAGAAATGAATGAATTTAAGAGGAGAGAGAGGGTAAGAAGAAGAAGAAGAAGAAGAAGAAAGAAAGAAGGAGAAGATGATGTACACCGTGTAGACAAATGATAATGCTCTCCTTCTTCGCTAACCACTCTCCTCCTTATCTCCTCCTCTCTTATTCACACAAGAAATAATGATAATAATGTTGAATGGCTGAACCAGAATCAATGTCCGAATCCCTCTTCTACTGCAGGTATCACATTGGGTCCACCATAGCCATGGCCACCCTTCCTCCTCTTTCGTCCAAGGCCGAGGCTATGGCAGACTACTAGGGCATCGGCCTGATGTCCAAAGGACAACCCAAAGCAGCTATGTCTGCTCTAGCTCAGGCCGCCATGCCTGACTCTGCCTCGAAGCTTCTTGGTGTAGCCCTACCCCCAATAGGGGCCTTCTTGCTGCAGCGTCCACCAAGGTGATGAAGATGGCAACCACCATAGCCAGGTAAGTACCTCTGGTGCTCCTCCCTCCTAGTCCTGGTCTTCTTCCTCCTCCTGTCCTTGCTCCTCCCCGGCAGCGCTGCTCCTTGCTAGTGCTGCCCCAGCCAGCGCTCCAGCCAGTGTGTCGCCAAACTTGCACACCGAGAATGAGGCTGAGCTCTTGGCTCAGCCTGAAGATATAGCGGCCTGCTTGCCTCTTGGGCGGTGACTCCCAGGCTGCTCGGCCTCCCAACCAACCGGTACCCCCTCCCTTTCGACTCTGATATTGCCCGTACAGGCCCTAGACTCAGACTGGTTGGACTGGTACACGCCTAGACCTAGCCTACAACTACTGGGCCTCTGGAAATGCCAACTTTTGTCTTCTTCTGCTCGGCCTCGAGTACCCGATACATCTACCTCTACCTGGTGTGGTACCGGCCTACCCGCTACTTGAGTGTTTTCCACTGCTTCAAGTGTTGCGGGCCTCTTTCCCCGTCACTTGAGTGTTTTGCCCCGCTGCAATCCTCAATGTCACAGCCACAGGTAAGTACCGGCCCTTCGGGCCGACTGAACGAACAAGTGCCGTTGCGGGTCACACACACACTCAAGCCGACGAGCACTCAGACAGACATGCAGACCAAGCGTGCACACACACAGACTTAGATAACTCAGTAACAAGCGGGAAACTAACAGCAAGGCATTCAGTCTATGAGCAAAACTCAGAAATCAGCTGTGTGTCTCAGTCCGTGTTTGGTCAGGTCATTACAGGTACGTATTCTTTGCAGTGTGATCTTAGGATGTTGGATGTGCTGCTTTCTTGGCAGTAATCCTTTCAGTACTTGGGCCCGCTATTCATTTTTGGTCCAGGGCATTAATGCGCTGCATCTTTTGGGGTTCGACATCCATCCAGAGCAAATTGAATGGTGGCGCCCGCCAAAGGAGGCCCACACCGATCCATTTTTTTCTCTGCATGCAGCGCGTTTCCAGCCCTCGGAAATACTGGTCGTTTAAGCAAGGTCACAATTCCGAATCCTGTTCAATGATACATAGATTTTTGACTGCATTGAAAAACACAAGGGAAACGAGGATGCTTTGTGGTTTGACATCTTGATTTTCCACTACGTCCCTTTGGTGCAGACGATGTCTATACAAGTAAATGTGGCAAGTACTCGTCGAGTTCAACCTCGCATGCATCAATGAACATTCACATGACAGTTCGTACGTGAGAAGCCAAATCGAGATGCAATCAACACTTGAAGATGTCGTCTCCAGTATTATTAACAATATACAAGAATGTTTGTCTCCAGCAGCTCTGCCGCACACACACACACAACGGATCTCAATCAGGTGGCGGCTATGGCTTCTCTTCCTTCTCTCTCCCTCTCTCTTGTCTTGCTTCTCTCTCTGACTTGGCTCGTTCTGCCTCACTCTCTCTTTCTCTCTCACTAATCTAGATCGTCACCCTGATCTACCCCTACCCTACCTAGCTATGGGGTCACACGCGTGCACCCTCTTCTTCCTCGGGCACACAGTTCCCAAATTGCCTTAATGCACAAGCAGCAGCAGCGCTTCTGCATCTCGCAACTGAACAAGTGATGAGCCGCTGCACTGTAGCAGCTAAATGTAGGGCTTGGCTTGGCTTGGCTTGGCTTGGACTGCTTCAGACCGGTACTTCACTTGGCTTGGCTTGGCCTGGCCTGCTTCAGACCGGTACCAGTCGGCCGCGGCCTGTCTGCTGCAAACATTTTGTCGGCCGGGTAGCTTCCGGACTTTCCTGGGACATACTGCAAAATTGGACGTCGGACTGTCGGACTGGACTGGACGCTTCTGGACTTTTCTTGTCGGGTATCGGGCGGACTCCTACCGACCTACGACGCTTCAGTACCGCCACCTATCGACCTACGACACTTCGGCCTCTAGAACCTACATCGTACCCTACGGGACGGCCCTGGGACTTGGGACTTGTTGGGACCCCGGGACCGGGACTGGGTGTCTGCAGCGTGAATCTTTTCACAGACGTTGTCTATACAGGAATTGTCATCCATGTCCTGGAACATGAATGTGCTATCCTAGAGGTGACATATGGAGAGAGGGAGATGGTTGGATTTCGAGAGTGTTCGTGGGAGGTCCTTTCTTGGTCTACTTCAACCGAGTGTCAAATTGAAAGTTAATGAGAGTAGTCAGATGGTCGTTGCTACTGGATTGGTCGGCTGCTGACCAGCTGACCGCTCCACCCGTCAGCACCTACCAGTCTGCAATGACTTGCTGATTTCTGCTGCCGAGATTGACTGCGAGGCTGTACACTAACCAGTAGGTTAGATTCGTAATTTTGTTTGGCTGAGGGCTAACCGAGAGACCTGTCTGTAAGGAAATTCGTGAGGGACAGATCTGCGAATCCGGGAAAATACAGGCCCGGTACTAACCGAATTCCTACAGCTACCCTAACTGCCTATAGCAGGCCCGGGCTACCCCTAGGACAGACAGGCCCTAAGTGGCCTATACTGCTAGACGGTCCTATAGCCTATAGCCGGGTCCGGTAGAGGCCGAGAGGCCGMAACAGCAACGGTACCGGTCGGTCAGTCAGTCCGGTCTAGGTCTAGGCTAGAGTAGTGAGTCTATAGATAGGTTAGGCCCACCGATTCAGGACTTTTGGCTTTTCATTTTCGCGGGACAGCGTTCGTGGCCAACCAAGTTTTGCAGCGCTGAGAGTCTACAGCGGCACCTGAGACTTCAGCTACGTGAGGCAGCCATAGCCAGCCTCTGAGAGACGGCCGTAGCTGGGGCCAGTCTCAGCGCATCTACCCTCTGGGGGTATCTGCGCCAGGCAGGGCTATTTTGGGGCTCTTCGTGGGGTACATGTGGGCGCAGCTGTGATGGTAGCAGCTCGGCAGCCATAGCTGCCTTCGTCATCGTCAGAGTGGCTCATCGGCACTGAGGACTACACTGCGATTCATGATCTTCATCTTGGTGGATGGCGCTGGCCTCTGGGAGGCCGTTTCAGTGTAGCGCTGGACTCTGAGAGTGGGGTTGTGTGTAGAGTGTGAGTGCTGAGGTGGCGAGACACTGGGTTAAACTCTGTAACGGTAATTGGGGTTAATTGAGTTCAGTTGGCTCATCATCAGCGTTATCTTCCGATTGTGATCTTCGCAGTGTCATCTTGTGATTGGTTGTTGGGAGTTTGTCAGAGAGAGAGAAACACTGTGTGTATTCTCCCCATCTGTGCATGGTTGCTATTCCGCTGCTTATCTCTGGTCTGTGTACAGTGTGGACTCTGTCTCTCCTCCCCTTTGTCTTGTGCATGTGTGGGCATGTGTGAGATCTTCTGTGAGTGAGTGGCAAGAAAGTTGTCAGACAACCAAGTTCATAACAAGTCAGCGGTCGGTTGGCAAACTGCAAATTTTTTTTTTTTTTTTGGGTCCATAACCCCCAACAACCCCACCAACACCACCATACCCCACCCTCCCCCTGACAACCTGCTTTCCCCCCCCTTGGAACCCCCTATACACCCCCCCCCCCCCAAATCGCTCCCTCACCAAAAGTTTCTCAATGGGTTTGGGCTGTACTCGGTGAGTACAGTGCAAACTTAGATTTGAAAAACAATCAACGCATAGCTCTCTTCAGACTGGTCGGCGGACCGCCGATGGGTCGTGCCAACTGGTAGGCTGCCAAACAGGCGGTGTTCATTGTCGGCGGTCAGCAGGTACTGAACCCTAAAATTAAACGTAAATAAAAAAGAGGAGAAACGGAAACAAACAGAAATGAAAATGAAAGTCTGATGAAGATGAGAGGCACGTTACCTCAGAGGAGAGTTAAAGTGCTCATCATTATGGGTCTGGGAAGGTGAGCTGTGTGCCAGGAGATGGAGGTTACTATTGAGTTGCCTATTTCTGACAAGGGGTTTGTTTGCCCACACGTTACAAGTAGTGGAGAGATCTAATCCTGTGACCTCCACGGTATGTGAATGGTGTGGTAGTCTCTCGGTGGGGGTGGGTGGGGGTCATTGATAGTCATCTGTCTCATAGTGATTATTGATCTCTGTTGGTCTGCAGGTTAATACGCTGGACAAGCTGGCAAAGGGTTTCCAGAGAATTCCTGGGTTATTTACAAGAAAGTGTTTGCCTCAACCGACTCTATCAAGGTGATGATCGGTTGTTCAGTGGGAATGGTCATGAATTGCAGCTGCTTATGTTTTTTTTTGTGTGGGGGGGGGGCGGCAGGGGTGTTGGAGGGTGGTGTGGATTGTGTGCTGCTTGTTTTTCAAGGCTTGGATTAGCCTCGACCTGCATCGGCCCTAATCATGCATTTAACAAGGTGATTGGAACTTCAGTGGGAGTGGCCATTAATTGCAGCTGCTTATGTGTGTTTTGACTTTTCAAGTCAATTCTGTCGGGGGCAGGGTGGGAGGGAGGGGTGTTGGAGGGTGGTGTGGGTTGTAGATGTAGCTTATTTTTTAAGGCTGGTATTAGGCTCAACCTGCATCGGCCGTAGTCGGTCATTTAATAAGGTGATTGGAAGTATGTCCCATCTGTGTCCAGGTCCACAGTGGCTGTACTGGTCAGCTATTGGTGTGGGTTGTGTGCCTATGTATCGCCCTCGGCCGTGGCCGCGGGGTCAAGCTCGGAGGGCAGCCGAGTTCATGGCCGCGGCCGCAGCTGGGGTCGGCCGCATAGCAGTCACGTTGTTCACGGATTTTTCCTGTCGAAAATACTAGGAAAAGAAAAAGGGGGTTGCACCATTGTACTGTTGTGGGGTTTTTCAAACCCTACAACCCCATATTTCCTTTTTAAGGAAACAATTAATTTTAGGGAATTAAAAAAAATAAAAACCAGAAAAGGCGGAGAGAAATTATTAAAAAAAAAAATTCTTTGTTTTCTTCAATTTTATGTATTTTTTGTTTGTGTAATAAGCAAAAAAATCAAGGAATGAAAAACAAAAATTAATAAAAAAGTACTGTTCTTTTGCAAGGGCCGATTAGTATGTGTGTGTGAATGTGTGCATGTGTGTGTGAATGTGTGCATGTGTGTGTGAATGTGTGGGAGGGGGGGGGTGTGAATGTGTGTGTGTGTGTGTGAATGTGTATGTGTGTG